CTCAGTCACCCCACACCAGACCAACTCAGACCATAGGGAGATCTTTTCTCTGAGGGGATGGGAATTTTCTGAGCTACCACAGACTTGAGAAGGAAGAACATGGGGAACCATGGCAGCTTGTCTCCCGGCTGTGGTGGCAAGCAGGTTTTTTTGTCCAGGATAGTCAGGTCTTAGGTAGGGTTCAGCGTCCTGCCTGCCCTTGCTGTGTCTCCTTGCTGAGGTGGCCTGCCCTCTCTGGGCCTCAGTCGTGTCCATTGTAGAGTGGGTGGAAGGTTCCATCTGGTCTCAGCACTTGGCGGGGTTCTGGACTCAGTGGGCGTGGAGGAAGGACCCAGCTGGGGCTGGGGCAGGGGAGGTAGCCAGGGTGTGCAGGCTCAGCGCCCGCATGAGCTCTGACCTTGAGCCTCCTCTCCGAGCCTGTTCCGTGAGCCTTTCTGCTGACACCTCCCCCGGGTTCCCAGCCTGCTGTCTGCAGCTATTTCAGATGCACCGGGAACATGGCTCGGGGACTCAGGGCTCCTGAGCGTCTGGATCCGGCAGATGGAGTCTGGCAGAGCCGGGCTCCGACCCGTCTGCCGTTTGCTCCAGTTCAGGCGTCCCTGCCAGGGCTGGGTCTCTGGCCCCCTCCCCCTACTCCGCCATCCCCACTTCTGTCGTGGCTCCCAGATGCCATCAATGGCCGGGAAGGAGGCCAAGCCCAAGGTCCCACACGACTGTGCTCCTCTCATTTCGGGGTGCGTGTGGGACCCTCTGGTTCCTATGGTATCAGGGTCTTATTTGACTCTGCATTGGGAGGCAGGGCAGCATGGGCTTCGGAGTGCCCCAGATCTAACTTGCTGCAGAATGGCCATGTGACCTGGGACAGGTAACGCCCCTCTCAGAGAGCTTGCGTTGTAGTGTAGCCGCTGTGGAAAGGGAGAGTTACGTGCCTGCCTTGCGGGGTCGCTGGGAGAACTGAGTGAGAAAGTGTAATCCAACACCCAGCGTGACCAGCACGCAGCGATCCTCCATGGTGCCCTGACACCCCTTCCAGGAGAGTCCTGCCTCCCTGTGCCTCCCCCTTAAGCCAGTCACCCGTGAGTCCTCGAATGCACAGAGTTCCTAACGCACAGGAACAGCATGGGCCTTGTCCTGTGTCCTGTGTCCTGCCATTCCCTCTATTCTGAGTCTCACCCTGTCTTCCCTCCAGGCTGCCCGCTGGCTGACTTCCTAGGGCAGGCGGGAGGCAGAGGCTCCTCCCCTCTTCTGTCTTCCCTTCCCTGCAAACACCTCTGAGACTCAGGCCCACCCAGCGCCTTCTGCTAAACCTTGGGCTGGGAAGTAGCCTTGTGTAACCAGCACACCTTTCCCTGCACCTGCACTCGGGATGGTCTGTGCTGTGCACACCTCCAGGGCACATTGGATAATTATAGTTTAGGAGGACAGGGGCTGCACAGGAGGGCCGCCATTTCCTTCCCACCCAGGGTTTGATTACTGGGGCAGGTTTGCAAGGCCTCCTGTTTCTGATCCGTGAGACAGTCACCTTCCCTCGTGTATGGGCCAGGCCGGGGTCTGAGTGTGTTGCAGGCGCTCACACAGCAAATACAGGAAGCAGGAGCTCACCCCACTTACAGGTGAGGACCCGGAGGCACAGAGGGTTCAGTGATTTGCCCACCCCTTAGCTACAAGGCGCAGAACCGGGTGTGAGTGCAGAGACACCAACCATGTCCCTAGGGTGAATGAGAGAACAGCCTGTCACTCCCCCTTCCAAGGAGTGCCCAGAGGTGGTCGGCAGCAGCATCTTCCTGTGAGTTCTGCCGCAAACAGGCCGAGGTGCACGTGTATGTAACCTCAGCCTCGTCATTATAATGGGGAGAGTCACCCCAACCTGACTTTGCCCCAGAGGCATTCTGGGACCAGATGCAGAGCCCTGGGTTTGCAAGGCTGGCAGCCAGGAAGGTTGAGTGTCTTGCCAGTCAACGGGCTCTCGTTGGGCCTCTGTGGTCATGTGCCCTTGGCCTGTCCCAGCATGCTCAAGGCCTCAGGAAGCTTATTCGAGACAGGGGACTGTGTGGCATGACGGGTGGCCCCTGGCGCCTTCAGTCATGCCGTCCGTTCTGCTCCTGCAGTAACTGCAGCATCTCCCGCTCCCTTCCCTGCCTGCCCCACGAGGGCTGAGGCACTCATCTGTTGCCGCAGTTGTGAGTCCATCGATTGGCGTAGTAAATATTTATCAGGCAGTCACTGGACGGAACCCTGAGGACCAATCGGGGACCGGGAATCCAAGTCCTGCCTTCTCGGAGTCGTTTCCTGGTGGGAGAGACAGACGATGAGCAAATAAACTGTATACTGCCAGGTTGTGACCAGCGGTACACTGAGAGACCAAGCGGGGTCGGGAGGTTGGCAGGGGTGGCGCCGTGTTATTGCGGAGTGGGCTGGCCTGGGAGGACCTCGCTCAAGGCCGAGCTAAGTGAAGCGGGCCGGAAGCCTGGTGCAGGAAGGGCGGTCGGCGCCAAGGCCCTGAGGCAGGAACAAAGCCCTCGTGCTGGAGGACCAAGCAAGGACCCGGTCGTGT